AGCGGGACTGGCCTAGGGCAATTTTTAGAGGGATTTTAATCATATTTTAATTAGACAACATTTAAATATTTCCTCTTAACTAATTTTAATTTTGTAATTGTTATTGGTGTATTTTTAATCGATTGTCAGCCGCCCTGAGTCCGCAAGGAGAAGGGCGGGATATAAATTCAATAAATAAATAAATAAATAAATAAATAAATTGTAGAATTAACTTTCTTATAGTTTATAGCTACAGTTAAAATCCACAAGATTCTTTATTTGACAATACTAAATGAATGCAAAATGGATTCATTGAAGCAACTACCCCATTTATTATTTTGCATGGGCAAAACCAGAGTTGTATATTGTAGCATGGATTCAGAGTCAATCTACAGGAAAAAATGTGACTTTTAAGTAGTTACATCTAATTTCAATCCCATTTATTTTATGGACATAGTGGGGGCATGCTTCGGTTGTGCTGAAAAGTGGTTGAGCCTGGTTAGTACTTGGATGGGAAGCCCCAAGATATTTCTGAGTACTAGAGTAGGCAGAGAAGTTGAAAAACAACATCCCAGAAGAAAATAGCAAATTGCTTCCTTACAGTCATCAGGGGTAAGATGGACTCTAAGCAAAGTTAAATTTGGTGTTGCCTGAAGGTTTCTCACTGTAGTACAGCCACTGAGGTTTTATCAATGTGAAAAAGCCTTGGATACATGATACACAAAGGATGGATGGTTTCATCTAGAACACGGGTGTCAAACTTGCGTCATGTGACGTGTTGCGATGTATCGCAACTTTTTTTGCATTGCTGGAGCTGGGGTGCTACATAGGAAAATATGTAGACAGTAAACATCTTAAGAAACACTTGTTTGTCTGCTGGTTGACTTTGCCAGCTGCTGAACAATCCTCTTTTAAAATTCAGATTCGTAATACAATATGGAAGATTTCAAGATTTCTAGGCCAAAACTGGCCTGTGACATTTTTATCTGGGATGGAACAGCAGATTGTCCCCCCTGCCCCCCCACCCTCAGATGAGGTGCTTCTCAAAGTAAATCAAGTGATTTTAGAACAAGAGGTGGAAGAATAAAAAATTTCTCTCTATACCTGGCATTAAAAATACAACAGCAAGAAACCAATTTGCTGTGCTTTTGTGGAATCCAACAACTCTTGTCTGATTAAGTAAGGCTAGCCCTGTTCTAGGCATGTTGATAAACAAAAATTGAGTAGATTTGGAAAACAGAAACTCCTGTGTTAGAGTAGAAGGTAGGCATTCCTAACACCCCCAGATTGGAGCCAATCCAGGAATTGGAATCCCCTTCATAATTACAATACTATTTTAAGCAATGCTGAAATGGGCTTTGAATATTTGACTCAACTCCCTGGACTACAACTCCCATCATCATCCTGGAGGAAGACATGTTTTCCACTTAATACCATGGTTTGATAAAGCTACAAACTCTTTAGCTGTTTTGGTAGGACCAAAAGTTTCACAGTTTTTTCTTGGAGCTAAATGTAAAGCTCCTTTGAGCCAAACTCTGAGAAAATTCCCCGTTTGCAATTTGATGAACAAGAGGCAGCTGCTCAAAATGTCATCCTGGCCAAAGTCAAGCTCCTGCCTGGAATTGGGCAAGATGACTACAGTATCTCTTTCTTTCTTCTATATTTAAAAGGGTGGCGCTCAGACCAAAGAAGTTGGCAACCTGTAGTAAAGCAGATAACATACTGTAGGTCAGGGACAGTCAACCCTTCAAGGTATGCAAGGTCACGAAACAGGAGTTACTAAAAGCCCTTCTTTAAGGAGCTTAGGGCATTGTAACAAAATCTTCAAAGCCCATTAAAGCCTCTCCTTACTTCAACTTATATCTAACCCAGTCAAGATGGACTTGTTCTGTGTTTCTGCCTCATGCTTTCTACTTTCCCAGGACTCAGATATCTTTTCTGTAATGGTTCAACATTGCCTTCCCTCTGCTTTCCTGAACCAAACCCACATTCCATCACAGATAGATGCTCTTGCCAAGTTTGGCAATAAATGCTTTGAGACTTTACAGCATAGACCACCTTGCTCACATCGTTGATTTCCCACAAAATGTGATGGGATTTAGAGCCATTCATTAATTTTATCTTTATACCATGTTCAGCTCAATCACAACTAGTTACCTCTCTGGTTAATTGTGCATTTACTTGCAAAGGGTAATTTGTTCAGCTGAGTAGACGTTGCGTTCTTGCTGCTTTGAAGATCCAGAGGAATTGTGCAGCAGGTCTATTTTGAGCATTCAGGTCACATGGGTTCAGGAATCCTTTACTAATCCATGCTTGGTGTGCCACCAGCTGCTTCTCTTTAAAATAAAACTACCGGCAAACAGCAGGAATCAGGAGGGGAAGAGAAAAACTAATAGATTCTAACCAAGAAAACCGGTCCTGCTTTCCAGCCAACATGTCGGATCAAAGCCCCTTTGAAACAGATATGATAACCCTGAACCGATATGTCATGGAGAAAGGACGACGGGTGAAAGGGGCAACAGGAGAACTGACCCAGCTTTTGAATTCAACGCTCACTGCCATCAAGGCCATCTCATCAGCAGTCCGAAAGGCAGGTCTTGCTCATATGTGAGTAGCACAGAGAAAGAGAAATGTGGGTCTGTATTAGAATGTCCTGGATGAGATCTGGGGAAGTAGGTCTATTTCCTATAGTACATTGAACAAAATTATTGAGATAAGAGTTCCACGTGGCTGCAGTGAAAGAAAAACAGCTATGATGGCTAATGTATGCTGAGTTATAGGAGCCTCTCTAAAATCACTATTGGTTTTGGTTTGATATAAACAGATTTTGATCAAATTCTGCTACCTCTGCTCCATTAATATTATAATTTCAAGGAGAAAACAAAGGTTTCAGAGGATAGCAAAACTTAATACCAGGATCTGAGCTGTAGACAGATAATATATTAGCATGTAGTATGCATTCATTTTAATATTGGTAATATAATTCAGCAAACCAAACAGTAATGTTAACCCAGGAATAATCAGATTTGCCTCTGTGCTGTTTCTGTGACTGAGAGGTTCAAACAAAATGGCTCATAAGCATGTCAGCGTAAAGATCAGGCCAGCTAACTTGTTTCTAATGCAATAGGAGATGCATTCAGAGAAGGATTCAGAATTGTGCCAAGTGGCAAATTGCACTGTGTTCATTAACAGGTTTGATGTCAATGCCAAGTCTTGATTGTCTTCCAGAAACCTGATGGCATATTTTTATAATTTCATATGAACATGAATGAGTTAATCAGAGAATAAGTTGCCAAAATGCAATCTTGTGCTTCCTAGCTCAATGTCTCAGGGCAACTGATTTTCCTGAATTTTTTCTTACAAGGTTACAAAGAGGGCTTTGAAGGAGGAAATCAAATAGCAGAAACCCTTTTGTTCCCATGCCAGCCTTTGAGATTGACTCTTATAAAAGTCAGAAATGCTGTCCAGGAAAAATGGAAAAAGGACTAGGATTGGTCATGGGGAAGGGCTATATTTGGTTCTGAAGATCTTAAGCCTTTCCTATTAGAAAGGAACTGCAATTATCTTTTCATTGCTTGCAAAGGGATGTAATTAAGTGGGGAGAGAGAGAGAGAGAGAGAGAGAGAGAGAGAGAGAGAGAGAGAGAGAGAGAGAGAGAGAGAGAGATCCTCATAAGCTCATTAATGTGCATTGAATCAGTAAAAATATATAATGTTAGTTGTTATTATGTATTATTTTATTGTATTTATTATTCTACTGAGATTGCATCTTGTGAACCATCCAGAGATGTATGGTTGGGGCAGTACAAACATTGGTTAAATAACTCACTAAATTCTGCTGCTCTGATCATGAAGCTTTATTCTGCCTTATTACTGAGCCTTGTAGTGTCGCTACAATTTCTTGTGACAATTGAAGGGCAGCATTTGATGGAGTGCCCTGGCTTCATTTCTCCTCTTTAACATATGATGGAATGAGGCTGGACAAGAATAAATGGTACCTAGATTACAGACCTTAGTCACCTTTCAAGTTGCTCAAGGGACAAGTTGTCAGTGCAAAGAGGCTATTTCTGAATTCAGGTCTGCCAGTCTTCTAGAAGATGGATAAACTTGCGTGAAAAAAAAAATAGACCAGTGGGCAGGATGATGGAGCAGAGGAGAAGCTTGACTGAAATAGAAAGGAGCTCACAGAGCTGATCAAAGTTCTCTCTCATTTCATCCTGCATCCATTTAGTGCCTTCCAGCAGAGATGACCATGGAAAAAGACCCTATCACAGTATTACAATGATTGGCATTTTACAGAAACAGTTCTGGACATTTAACACTGAAGATGTCAATAGGATTATGCTAAACAAAACATGGAGGATACAAAGGCAGATTCATGTATTAAGGAAATGGTTTGCAACACTTTAAAGCACATTCCTCCTATATATGCCTTTTTTCATGATTGCTGGGGTCAAAAGATTCAATAAACTGAATATTATCCATGGTCTCCAATTAATCTCTGGAAATACCTGGGAGCACATCCACATCCTCAGTGCTTGCAAAAGGCTTTCAGTATGGTCCTTCAACATGGCCAATGGCAAAAGACTGTGAGAGGTACAATCCAAAAATATGAAGAACATCCATTTGCTTTTCCCTAACTTCACTCTTTTTCATGTTGGTAATAACCTTGTGGGCTTTTTCCCTCCATAGGTATGGAATAGCAGGAAGCATGAACGTGACCGGGGATGAGCAGAAAAAACTGGATGTGTTGTCCAATTCTCTGGTTATCAACATGCTCCAATCCTCCTACAGCACTTGCGTCCTGGTCTCTGAGGAGAATAAAGAAGCAATAATCACTCCAAAAGAAAAGAGGGTCAGTATGTGGTCTAATTAAGGGGAAAGAGGGTGATCCCTCATTTAGCAGCAGGGGGCGCAATTGAATCACGGTAGGAAAAAAGAGATTTTTCCAAGGGGCTCCAAAGAAAAATGTTAGACATACTCTGTAGCTGAAAATGTCTGGGGGCAGAGTTGACAATCTACATTTCCAGAACTGAATATTGCTTCGTGCAACATGCAACAGATAACACTGCTCCCAAGCTTCCAAAACTGAATTAAGACTGAACTGCTTAAGCTGAGGGAGAACTTAGTCTGAAAGAAAAACTTTCTCATCTCCATATCGAACTAAAATGGAGGACAGCATCCAAACATCGGGGTGGTGGTGGTGGTGTTGCTAACACAAAGCTAAATTGCCAATATGACCTGAGCTGATCCCAGCCTCTTGGAGTCACCTGACCATATCAGCAACTGGATGATCAGTGAAGCATGCCAGACTGAATCCATGACAAAAACCATGTCAAGATAAGAACATAGAACATAATAGGGTTGGAAGAAACCTTAGAGGTCTTCTAGTCTAGCCACCTGCTCAAACAAGATATCCTATAGTACTAGTCTAGACACATGGCTATCCAGTCTCTTCTTGAAAACCTCCAGTGTTGGAGCACCCACAACTTCTGGAGGCAAGCCATTCCTATCTGATTAACTATTCTCACTGTCAGGAAATTTTTCTTTAATTCTCTCTTTAATGATCTTCCACACAGTTACTTCTTGTCCTGCCCTCAGGTGCTTTGGAGAGTAGGTCCACTCTATTCTTCTTGGTGACAGCCCCTAAGAGGATTAAACACTCCTTTAAAAACAGAATAGCTAAGGATAGCTGGAGGCTGCCTCTGTTATTGACTAGGGAAAATGATATTATGACGACACAGAATAACAAAGATTGCAGGATTTAGATACGTGTGAGGAAATGCCTGAGCCTTATTCTGGGGCTTTGTGTACTATGATAGGCAGGATACTCGCACTGGGCCACCCTACAATTAAATGTATGCCACGTTCTACCAACAAGTATGCAGTGAACTATTATTTTACTTGGAAAGACGTAGAGGAATAAAATAGTTTTCCATCAATTGAATGAGAACTGGTTTAACCCCCCCCCCCCCNCAACCTTGAGCCAGTCAGGATCAAACTCCTGGCAGTGAGCCTGCAATACTGCATTCTTACCACTGCTCCATCACAGCTCTTCTATGATATGTGAGTCCAGTCAATGGCTGGACTCATATTTCAAGTTTAACCACGAATACCAGTTAAGGCAAATACATTTCATCACAATCTTCTCCTCTTCCTCCTAGCCATTCATGTACCAGCATTTTTCAGTGGAGTGAACCAGAGGACTTAAGCATGAGCAAATGTCAACAAACATGGTTACATTAACTGGAGATGGGGAAAATACATGAGACTTGTGTTTGGATGACATGCTTGATATATCATGGATGGTAAACATACTAAGCTGGAGAAGGCCAACGGGTGCATCTGACCTAGCCTATGGCTTACAGCTAAGCATGGCATGTGAATGTTCATATGATATACTCTAACTTAGTCTCCCATGCAGACATCTTGATAAGGGACTCAAGTGCCATTCTGAGTGATAGTAACACTGTAGACTGCCTGCAATGGGAAAGGCATGGACTTCTGCAAAAAAAATTATTAAAGAATAACAACACACACAAGGGGACTGCAGAGGCTTAAGTCATGCTGTATCATCTTCCCTATAAACATTTATTTAATTAACCGTTTTTATAACTTGCCCCAATCCTAAAAAGTGGGGGGTTTGCAAATATAGAAATCCAACCATTAAAGAAAAATATAAAAATTCAAGAAATTCATTAGACACAGGTGCTATTATTCATTCATTCATTGGGACTGAAAGCCCGTTGAAATATATTTGCTTTGGGGGCTAATACATACCTCCTGTTGGAGAGGGTACCAAATTGTGGGGTTTGTTGCAATGAAATGTTTCTGCCTCATCCACACCTTTCTCCTCTAGTACTACTTTACATTAAAAAGGTAGATTTTCCTCGACAGCTGAAACTTCGGGATTTCCAACATTTTCAAGGGCGTTCCTGATCAATTCAGCAGAAGAACTAATTTTACACAATTTTAATGCATGTAAATGGTGTGGATGTCCTCTCTTTATGGGGCTGTGAAGAATTCTGCTTCTGGTGAGGGAGCTGCTGTGTGTTGCCAAAGATAAATATGTACTGTATATGTAATCGCCATTGTAGAATTAACTTTCTTATAGTTTATAGCTACAGTTAAAATCCACAAGATTCTTTATTTGACAATACTAAATGAATGCCAAAATGGATTCATTGAAGCAACTACCCCATTTATTATTTTGCATGGGCAAAACCAGAGTTGTATATTGTAGCATGGATTCAGAGTCAATCTACAGGAAAAAATGTGACTTTTAAGTAGTTACATCTAATTTCAATCCCATTTATTTTATAGACACAGTGGGGCATGCTTCAGTTGTGCTGAGAAGTGGTTGAGCCTGGTTAGTACTTGGATGGGAAGCCCCAAGATATTTCTGAGTACTAGAGTAGGCAGAGAAGTTGAAAAACAACATCCCAGAAGAAAATAGCAAATTGCTTCCTTACAGTCATCAGGGGTAAGATGGACTCTAAGCAAAGTTAAATTTGGTGCTGCTTGAAGGTTTCTCACTGTAATACAGCCACTGAGGTTTTATCAATGTGAAAAAGCCCTGGATACATGATACAAAAAGGATGGATGGTTTCATCTAGAACACGGGTGTCAAACTTGCCGTGTCATGTGATGTGTTGCAACGTATCTGCAACTTTTTTTGCATTGCTGGAACTGGGGTGGGCACAGCCTCCACATGATGTAACTGGCCCACGGGCCGGCAGTTTGACATCCCTGATCTAGAACAACCAGATCTGGGCTAGTTACTAGATGGAAGTGTCTCTTTGCTGATATCTTCTAGCCATCTGGATATTTGTGGACCAAATCTTGTAACCTCTCCTTGTGCTTCAGATCTCTAGGCAGGCAGATTTCTTTAGGCGGAGCAATTTTTTTCTCTATCTATTTCAACTTGATAAACCCTTAGATTTTCATTGATGCATCTCCATCATTTTTGGTGGGGAAAAAATAAGCTATATTTGTTCTGGAACAGGGCCATAAAGTTCAAGAAGGTCATTGTATAATGAACTGCTTGAAGATAGAAAGCTTGATTCCACATTAATCTGTAAACCTAAATCATAACCATGATGAAGAATAAGTGGGAGTCATAGCCATATCTAGGGGGCCCACAGGGATGGGATCAAAAAAGTAAAGAGGGTAGTTATGACTGTGATTGAAGCCGTGCCATTTTTTTTTTTACAATAGGTGCATGTGCAATGCGTGTAACAAAGGATGAGATTTTGACAATGTGGCCCTGGCTACCATCTTGAATTTCTTGATAAACCTTTCAAACACCCGTATCTATATAAGAAGAAAATAGAGTGCAAATTTCTATATAGGAAAATATGTAGACAGTAAACATCTTAAGAAACACTTGTTTGTCTGCTGGTTGACTTTGCCAGCTGCTGAACAATTCTCTTTTAAAATTCAGATTCGTAATACAATATGGAAGATTTCAAGATTTCTAGGCCAAAACTGGCCTGTGACATTTTTATCTGGGATGGAACAGCAGATTGTCCCCCCTGCCCTCCCCACCCTCAGATGAGGTGCTTCTCAAAGTAAACCAAGTGATTTTAGAACAAGAGGTGGAAGAATAAAAAAAAATGTCTCTCTATACCTGGCATTAAAAATACAACAGCAAGAAACCAATTTGCTGTGCTTTTGTGGAATCCAACAACTCTTGTCTGATTAAGCAAGGCTAGCCCTGTTCTAGGCATGTTGATAAACAAAAATCGGGTAAATTTGGAAAACAGAAACTCCTGTGTTAGAGTAGAAGGTAGGCATTCCTAACACCCCCAGATTGGAGCCAATCCAGGAATTGGAATCCCCTTCATAATTACAATACTATTTTAAGCAATGCTGAAATGGGCTTTGAATATTTGACTCAACTCCCTGGACTACAACTCCCATCATCATCCTGGAGGAAGACATGTTTTCCACTTAATACCATGGTTTGATGAAGCTACAAACTCTTTAGCTGTTTTGGCAGGACCATATCTTCACAGTTTTTTCTTGGAGCTAAATGTAAAGCTCCTTTGAGCCAAACTCTGAGAAAATTCCCCGTTTGCAATTTGATGAACAAGAGGCAGCTGCTCAAAATGTCATCCTGGCCAAAGTCAAGCTCCTGCCTGGAATTGGGCAAGATGACTACAGTATCTCTTTCTTTCTTCTATATTTAAAAGGGTGGCACTCAGACCAAAGAAGTTGGCAACCTGTAGTAAAGCAGATAACATACTGTAGGTCAGGGACAGTCAACCCTTCAAGGTATGCAAGGTCACGAAACAGGAGTTACTAAAAGCCCTTCTTTAAGGAGCTTAGGGCATTGTAACAAAATCTTCAAAGCCCATTAAAGCCTCTCCTTACTTCAACTTATATCTAACCCAGTCAAGATGGACTTGTTCTGTGTTTCTGCCTCATGCTTTCTACTTTCCCAAGACTCAGATATCTTTTCTGTAATGGTTCAACATTGCCTTCCCTCTGCTTCCCTGAACCAAACCCACATTCCATCACAGATAGATGCTCTTGCCAAGTTTGGCAATAAATGCTTTGAGACTTTACAGCATAGACCACCTTGCTCACATCGTTGATTTCCCACAAAATGTGATGGGATTTAGAGCCGTTCATTAATTTTATCTTTATACCATGTTCAGCTCAATCACAACTAGTTACCTCTCTGGTTAATTGTGCATTTACTTGCAAAGGGTAATTTGTTCAGCTGAGTAGACGTTGCGTTCTTGCTGCTTTGAAGATCCAGAGGAATTGTGCAGCAGGTCTATTTTGAGCATTCAAATCACATGGGTTCAGGAATCCTTTACTAATCCATGCTTGGTGTGCCACCAGCTGCTTCTCTTTAAAATAAAACTACCGGCAAACAGCAGGAAGCAGGAGGGGAAGAGAAAAACTAATAGATTCTAACCAAGAAAAACGGTCCTGCTTTCCAGCCAACATGTCGGATCAAAGCCCCTTTGAAACAGATATGATAACCCTGAACCGATATGTCATGGAGAAAGGACGACGGGTGAAAGGGGCAACAGGAGAACTGACCCAGCTTTTGAACTCAACGCTCACTGCCATCAAGGCCATCTCATCAGCAGTCCGAAAGGCAGGTCTTGCTCATATGTGAGTATCACAGAGAAAGAGAAATGTGGGTCTGTATTAGAATGTCCTGGATGAGATCTGGGGAAGTAGGTCTATTTCCTATAGTACATTGAACAAAATTATTGAGATAAGAGTTCCACGTGGCTGCAGTGAAAGAAAAACAGCTATGATGGCTAATGTATGCTGAGTTATAGAAGCCTCTCTAAAATCACTATTGGTTTTGGTTTGATATAAACAGATTTTGATCAAATTCTGGTACCTCTGCTCCATTAATATTATAATTTCAAGGAGAAAACAAAGGTTTCAGAACATAGCAAAACTTAATACCAGGATCTGAGCTGTAGACAGATAACGTACTAACTAGCATGTAGTATGCATTCATTTTAATATTGGTAATATAATTCAGCAAACTAAACAGTAATGTTAACCCAGGAATAATCGGATTTGCCTCTGTGCTGTTTCTGTGACTGAGAGGTTCAAACAAAATGGTCCATAAGCATGTCAGCGTAAAGATCAGGCCAGCTAACTTGTTTCTAATGCAATAGGAGATGCATTCAGAGAAGGATTCAGAATTGTGCCAAGTGGCAAATTGCACTGTGTTCATTAACAGGTTTGATGTCAATGCCAAGTCTTGATTGTCTTCCAGAAACCTGATGGCATATTTTTATAATTTCATATGAACATGAATGAGTTAATCAGAGAATAAGTTGCCAAAATGCAATCTTGTGCTTCCTAGCGCAATGTCTCAGGGCAACTGATTTTCTTGAATTTTTTTCTTACAAGGTTACAAAGAGGGCTTTGAAGGAGGAAATCAAATAGCAGAAACCCTTTTGTTCCCATGCCAGCCTTTGAGATTGACTCTTATAAAAGTAGAAATGCTGTCCAGAAAATGGAAAAAGGACTAGGATTGGTCATGGGGAAGGGCTATATTTGGTTCTGAAGATCTTAAGCCTTTCCTATTAGAAAGGAACTGCAGTTATCCTTTCATTGCTTGCAAAGGGATGTAATTAAGTGGTGGGGGGAGAGAGAGAGAGAGAGAGAGAGAGAGAGAGAGAGAGAGAGAGAGAGATCCTCATAAGCTCATTAATGTGCATTAAATCAGCAGAAATATATAATGTTAGTTGTTATTATATATTATTTTATTGTATTTATTATTCTACTGAGATTGTATCCTGTGAACCATCCAGAGATGTATGATTGGGGCAGTACAAACATTGGTTAAATAACTCACTAAATTCTGCTGCTCTGATCATGAAGCTTTATTCTGCCTTATTACTGAGCCTTGTAGTGTCGCTACAATTTCTTGTGACAATTGAAGGGCAGCATTTGATGGAGTGCCCTGGCTTCATTTCTCCTCTTTAACATATGATGGAATGAGGCTGGACAAGAATAAATGGTACCTAGATTACAGACCTTAGTCACCTTTCAAGTTGCTCAAGGGACAAGTTGTCAGTGCAAAGAGGCTATTTCTGAATTCAGGTCTGCCAGTCTTCTAGAACAGTGCTTCTCAACCTTTTTAATGCCTCAACCCCCAACCGGTTGTAAGTCGAGGACTAAACCGGTCGTAAGTCAAGGACTAAACCGGTCGTAAGTCGAGGACTAAACCGGTTGTAAGTTGAGGACTACCCAACCGGTCGTAAGTCAAGGACTTTCCCTGCCCAGGAGCGCCACGCATGCGTGGTTCCGCCCCCTGCACCGGCCGAGGCGTAGCTGGCAAGTGGCAGAGACGGAGCAGGCCGACCACCAGCTGGCCCAGCTCAAGGGAGGTAAGGCACCTGCCGGAAAAGGGGAAAAAATGGCGGACAGCCTTGCTTGGCGACCCCCGTGAAATGGTCGATCGACCCCAAATGGGGTCGCGACCCATAAGTTGAGAACTGCTGTTCTAGAAGATGGATAAACTTGCGTGAAAAAAAAAATAGACCAGCGGGCAGGATTATGGAGCAGAAGAGAAGCTTGGCTGAAATAAAAAGGAGCTCACAGAGCTGATCAAAGTTCTCTCTCATTTCATCCTGCATCCATTTAGTGCCTTCCAGCAGAGATGACCATGGAAACAGACCCTATCACAGTATTACAATGATTGGCATTTTACAGAAACAGTTCTGGACATTTAACACTGAAGATGTCAATAGGATTATGCTAAACAAAACATGGAGGATACAAAGGCAGATTCATGTATTAAGGAAATGGTTTGCAACACTTTAAAGCACATTCCTCCTATATATGCCTTATTTCATGATTGCTGGGGTCAAAAGATTCAATAAACTGAATATTATCCATGGTCTCCCATTAATCTCTGGAAATGCCTGGGAGCACATCCACATCCTCAGTGCTTGCAAAAGGCTTTCAGTATGGTCCTTCAACATGGCCAATGGCAAAAGACTGTGAGAGGTACAATCCCAAAATATGAAGAACATCCATTTGCTTTTCCCTAACTTCACTCTTTTTCATGTTAGTAATAACCTTGTGGGCTTTTTCCCTTCATAGGTATGGAATAGCAGGAAGCATGAACGTGACTGGGGATGAGCAGAAAAAACTGGATATGTTGTCCAATTCTCTGGTTATCAACATGCTCCAGTCCTCCTACAGCACTTGCGTCCTGGTCTCTGAGGAGAATAAAGAAGCAATAATCACTCCAAAAGAAAAGAGGGTCAGTATGTGGTCTAATTAAGGGGGAAGAGAGAGATCCCTTATTTAGCAGCAGGGGGCGCAATTGAATCACGGTAGGAAAAAAGAGATTTTTTCCAAGGGGCTCCAAAGAAAAATGTTAGACATGCTTTGTAGCTGAAAATGTCTGGGGGCAGAATTGACAATCTACAGTTCCAGAACTGAATATTGCTTCGTGAAACATGCAACAGATAACACTGCTCCCAAGCTTCCAAAACTGAATTAAGATTGAACTGCTTAAGCTGAGGGAGAACTTAGTCTGAAAGAAAAACTTTCTCATATCCATATCGAACTAAAATGGAGGACAGCATCCAAACATCGGGTGGTGGTGGTGGTGTTGCTAACACAAAGCTAAATTGCCAATATGACCTGAGCTGATCCCAGCCTCTTGGAGTCACCTGACCATATCAGCAACTGGATGATCAGTGAAGCATGCCAGACTGAATCCATGACAAAAACCATGTCAAGATAAGAACATAGAACATAATAGGGTTGGAAGAAACCTTAGAGGTCTTCTAGTCTAGCCACCTGCTCAAACAAGATATCTTATAGTACTAGTCCAGACACATGGCTGTCCAGTCTCTTCTTGAAAACTTCCAGTGTTGGAGCACCCACAACTTCTGGAGGCAAGCCATTCCACTGATTAACTATTCTCACTGTCAGGAAATTTTTCCTTAATTCTCTCTTTAATGATCTTCCACACAGTTACTTCTTGTCCTGCCCTCAGGTGCTTTGGAGAGTAGGTCCACTCTATTCTTCTTGGTGACAGCCCCTAAGAGGATAAACACTCCTTTAAAAACAGAATAGCTAAGGATAGCTGGAGGCTGCCTCTGTTATTGACTAGGGAAAATGATATTATGACGACACAGAATAACAAAGATTGCAGGATTTAGATACGGGTGAGGAAATGCCTGAGCCTTATTCTGGGGCTTTGTGTACTATGATAGGCAGGATACTCGCACTGGGCCACCCTACAATTAAATGTATGCCACGTTCTACCAACAAGTATGCAGTGAACTATTGTTTTACTTGGAAAGACGTAGAGGAATAAAATAGTTTTCCATCAATTGAATGAGAACTGGTTTAACCCCCCCCCCCCCCCGGGCAGGATAGATTTCCTATCTGACAGTTACATTTACTTTTGCACATATTTTGTGCACAATTCACTTGGAAGGGGAGCAGGAGATTTGAAAATATGAAGTCTCAGACTTTTTGTCAAAAGAAGAAAAAAATGAATTTATTGATTTATGAATTGAAGAGTTAAAAAGAGGTGGATTAAATGTGGAG